ACAATGTGATAAGATCAAAGTTAATGGGAAACATGAGATAAAGTAATCTTGGCAAGTGGTAGAGACCAACCGCTCAGAAATTGTATTCAAAGATTTTTCAACCGACGGTAATGACATGTGCAACATGCCGATCAAACATCGAAGAGCGTTAGATATTACCTAAACCAAAAACACTGTATTTTTACAACTTCAAAAGTAAAAAACGAAGCAAGTGAGAGTCCAGCAAAAGCAGCACAACACTCAGTTAGGGAACCAACCTTCTCATACTTAAACTCGAGGCTCTGCGTCACCAAAGAGACAAACGGATCCAACCGGCGCACATGGTCCGGATCGTTTCGATCAAAATGTTTGCCTGGAAGTGTTTTGTACAAATAAGATTAAATGAGAACGATTGAACTTCAAACTAACCTGTTATCAAGGCTCCCAACAGCTGTAGAGCAAATTCGAGGAAAACATGTGAGCGGCTTTTCAGAATCGGTTTCACGAGAACGCCAATGCGTTTTGGCTCCTGAAGTCAGATCAAGCGTCAGAGAAAGGTCTCATAAGTATGTTATGCGACAAGCTAGCGATTATTCATCGTACACTGGATGCCAGCGGTAACAACGTTCAAGTACACTTAGAGACGACAAGAAATAGTGGTAGCGTCGTAATCATATGAAGAATAGGGGAATTTTAAGATTCGGAACAAAGCGATGGCGGCATCACATTTGGCGCGTCGTGCACGGCATATTCCATACAGATCACGGCGTCGATAACTTGTAATGACGCCACCCACCCGGCTCTTCCGCATGACACCACTACCCTTGCAGTCACGATCCTCGTACTGCATCAAGTGATTGATACCCTAACTTAATCAATGCTCACTTCAAGGACGAATTAACGCTGAAAAAGCAACCCATTTCAAATTAAGTTAGAGATGGTCAGTGATGCACGAAAGAAGAAAAAACTGAGGAAAATGGCCCAGAACCCGAGAAATGGGACCTTGCCCGTTGATTTGCGCATTGATGCGACTCTCATCTTTGTGCCCTCTCCAACACTACGCTCTCTCTGCTATCTAATCACTCGCCACGTATAGACCTGCGGCCAGTGATTAGATGGTCGGTAGGTGTACATCGGACAACCGCGCCAAGATTGAGCTATGCTGGAGCGCCGATGTCAAATCTTTCGCTCCAATTGCCCGTCGGTTCGCACTCTCAGATGGTCCGCCTGTGTCGCAACTAGGCCATTTTCCCATTCTTCGACCTTCGTTCTTATCGAGAATTCGTCCTTTAAAGGGTGATTCTACGATAAGGTTGGAGAAAAGGAAACTCAGAGGGAAAACATCCCCTAAGGGTACGGGCCGATACCCAACTCGTAGCGAATGACATATTTCTGGCGGTCTGGCACGGTCGTCTCCGCGACGCTATCGACAGAGCACGCCCACGTAACCATTCGCCACAGGTCTCTAGCTGTTCAGCATTGTGTTACCGTTGGAGAGAGCAACACTGATGATTACCGCTGAAGAGGGCAACACTGATGAGAGTCGCTTAAATGCGGAAACCACGGGCAAGGAAGGGGTGCCATTTCTCAGGTAGGCTGTTTCCCATCTTTCTTTTCATCCCAACCATTGAGAACTTCTGCTTTCTACTCTAATTTCTAATGAGCTCCTTCCAACCGTGAAATACGCCTTCAATTGGAGACCGTTGCTGTCAATCGTTTTCAAAACTGCTGTTAATTATCTAGTCAATTAATATAAATTTTTGGCTCTCGCCTCAAACAAATTTAAGCCAGCCGTGTTCGTGCAAGGGAGAGCCTAGACGCACAACGAATGTTTCGCATAGGCTATGAGATGAAGCTGAGCATCGAGAAAGGTGGTGAGTGGACCATGCAGAAGCGAACAATGCTTTGGAGATCGTTTTGATACAGATGAATTAGATTTCTTACAAGTAGTGGTGATAGCTCCGCTGAGAATATAAACGGATTAGAGTAATCTAACTGTACCGAATTATCAACAACACATACTAAGGATGCGTGAGTGCAAGGGTCGATTGGCAAATTACAAAATTTTGACACTGTAATTGTGCTCTATGTTTCAAGGGGCTGGCCTTTCAGACTCTCAGGCGCTGTATTCCATCTTATGAAACGGCATATAGCCGTGGTCAAACACTACACCGGAGTCCATTGAATAGTACAATACTTAATCCGCAGAACAGAAACTCTGCCTTATATATCAGCTTTTTCTCCCGCTTTATACTTTACGCTGACGCGGGTAATTTTTTTGTTTTTACTAAGGCTTAAAGGAATCTTGCGCGGAAAAATCATGATTCTATTTCAGCCATAAATCACTGGCTTGAGACTCATTATCCACGATAATAGTGAAAAGAACTGAAGTATTGCTTTCGTTTTGATTAGAAATTCGAAAACTCGAAAAGGCTGCTACGCGTTCGAATTGCCCACGGACGTCTTTCACGAATGCTGGCGACGGGGATGCTCAAACTTGGTTCTTGGAGTGCATTCACTAGAAGCTCTTTCTGGCCTTCTGCTTCGTTGCATTCACATCTTACACTTCTACTCCATCGATCGATTTGTCTCCACTCTCCGAAATCGCGCGCTTTAACCCGATTCTCTCATTGCGTCGCCTGGTACGTAGCCGGCCAAACGCCGTCTTCTTTCCATGCCTCGCCTGGCTCTGCCTCCTGGTCCTTCGATGGTCCATAACGTGTAGTTTTTGTACGTTTGTTTCTCTTCAGAAACCGAATCTTCATGCGTGAAACTTTGTGTGCTATTTCCAGTGATCACAACTGACATATTCATGTTAGGAAAGAGTGCAAGAATTTTCCGCGCAAGATTCCTTTAATACCTTTTAAAGGCATGCCCCAGGATCACATTGGTGTGGCTCTTGCACACGAATGTGAATGTATTGGTGCGAAGTGGGCCGGCAGTGAAGAAAAAAGGAAAAGAATCCGTCGAAAACGCTAGGTTGAGGGCTCACTCACCTTCTAATCGGCTGTGCTAAGGGAATGAGAGACTAAGCGCGGAGAGGAGAGTATGAGGCGAGAGAGCGCTACAGATGAGAGGGCGCCAGACAACAGCCTGATAAGAGAAAAAATCTGCAGCTTGCAGCACTTTGCAAGGCCCAAGCGCTCTTGTCGGTTGGTTTCCGTGCACGGGAACGCCACATTTGTGATTGTCCTCTGGGGTCTATACTACAGACCGAAGGGAAGCGTTCACACGACCTCTGCCTGGAGTTGTGCCTTTAGAAAAAAGTCAAATGCGCGATAAAACCAAGAGCTCCACATTGCCGACCGCTTTACACTTGTGCTATTCTTCACCGGAGCGAAAGAGGGTCGCGGCACATATGCGGCTTACCTACTGCAGCCAGTGTATACAGATCGAATCAAGTGGGTTAAAGGAAGTGGTCACGATAATTCTCATAGGGACGATAAGGAAAGCTGTGTACTGGAGTGGATAGGGGTCCTGCCCAATGTTAGAACACGTGAAGTTTCAGTGGCAGTGGCGCCTTATCAACGGAGTGATAAGGCGCCGAAATCCACTTCCGTTCAGCAAAAACCAAGACTTATCGATGTGGAAAGGGGTGCGATAAGAGCGTGCTAGATATGATACCGTTATCGTTATCGTCCCGTTTTCATTCTGGAGTGCACCTTTTTCAAGCAGCCGCACCTTCTTATCTTATGATATCGTATCTTCTAGGGGGTAACGCTCGTCCGAACATAATCTATCTCAGACCTTATCGGTTGATAACGCGAGGGTAGCAAATCCAGCGTGGAAGCCAGCGTGTCGCGTGTGATCGGTTCGCTTCCTTTAAGGCTTTCGTCTCTTCTCTCTCTTAATTGATCTCTTATCACCCTATCAGCATGAAGTGTTCCTATGGCATGAACAAACATGTTTGTCCCAGCTTCGATTTTATCACTATATGCCTTGCAGTTTCTAAAACTATTTACCGGTGGTAAAAGTAAACAGCTCTTTGGCTTCTCCAAAAACTCGTCCGATGACTGCTGGCTGTCTGGAACTACTCGCATCTTCTCGATGTTCGTCACGATCATTTGGTGGATAAGTATAAGCTGTGAAGACGGAGAAAATCCTGAAATGACAACAATGAATAGCGAAGTCTTAAAATTAAGCACGTGACGCTTTCCGCTAAACCGTTATTACATGAGAGAAAACGAAAAGTGCTATATGTAAGGACAAGATGAGCCTTGCAAATATGCCCCGAACTGAATATGACGTGACCAGTCAAACCTTTGTTATCCTTGAGACCATTGGCAAACATAGACAGAAGATTTCGTGCACGTGAGATCATTTTTGCAGAAGTTAGTGAGTCCACAACTGTTCTGAAAACAAAAATAAAGAATAACGGGGAATTCTCGGACCACCCCCTCCTTCCGAAAACCGCAAAAACAGAACCGAGTCGTAGATTGAGCCAAAAATTTAGTCCTACTTATGGCCAACTTGCGATTACACACTCACACGAAGCGATTCAGCAATGTGCCGACCACCGACGATGAGACATAGCGCCCAAGCAACAGCAACGTTCCTGGAGTCGGATTCTTCTTGGCCTCGCTAACTTCGGCTTTGATTTCTCCGACTTCCTTCTCTTCGGAAACAGCTTCGAACTGCTCTTTCACAACGATCTGTCAATGGAGTACGAGTTTAAGCTAACCAATACATGAAGAGATCCATTTTGCAATACCGACTTAGTAGAATTACACCCGTCAGGTCATTTCATAAGCCGATGCTAGGCTATTCGACAAAGTGTTTAAAATACTGTTGGCCACAATGAGAAGAAAATGAAGCCTTCCGCGCAGCAGGATCCGACTTTGAATGAATGTAGAACTCATGGCACATCCCTTCTGGGATGTGCTAAGCATTCCACTTCTATTTGAAATATAGTGCCATTTGAACGCAGTATGGCCAATACCATACCTCGCGAGAGCCAGCGGATATTTAAGGCAATGCTATTCCCTTTCCATACAAATTTGGCACCGACTGAGCTGCCCCGAAGGGATGGAAGGCTTGGTTCACTTGGACGACATTGGATCGACTTACTTTCGCCGACGTTGGGTAAGATTTGGCGCCACTTGCACCTACACCATATCTTGCCTGCAGTCGACTAACTAACTTCCATTATCTTAATTCCGACATCTTTAATATCTACACTGCATCCAACACAACGCCTCTTTGGACCCTCGCTCTGTAAATTGAAGCTCCGACAAACTATTTGCCAGCCTCTGAGCTAATCTACCATCTCGGTTGCCATGGACAGCAACTAACACTGAAATCCTTTCAGCGTGGTCAATCAGTATCTAGAGAGCTTATTTCTCGCAGCAATCTATTTTTTATGAATTAACATCATCGCCAGTCTCCGCTGAACGTCACAAAGTGACTGAGTTTGATCCTTAATATTTTTCGAAATTAAAAAAATTAAAAATCAAAATTTACATCTATCACATCATCCAGACAGGCATCCAAATCTCCCGTTTTTAAGACGTCTCGCATTGCTGCTATAAAAGTGTGCACCGTGTAGATCATCGTACATGGACCTGAAAATTGACTCAGCCTTTACTATGGTCAAGTAGAACCATTGTAAGCTATCTTTCACAGGGAAATTGTGAGCTGACCTGGAATCCTTTTTTCATTATAAGCTTCATCTCCTTGATGATTATAGGAAGATAGCGCGGTCCGAGACATTCGCAGACTTGTACTCCGACTTTTCGAGCTGTTTCCCGAACATTCATTGAGCGTGAAATCATCAACGAGCACAGCTTTAAAATAACCCTGAAATGATAGGCTGTTAATCGTCGAAATGCAAAATTCAGTTAATCACAACGTTGAGCGCCACGCATGACGCGCATACCCGTGTAGATATTGCGAACGAATGCTGTCAGGGACTTTCTGCAGGAGTTTCACGGTAGCAAGAGCAACTGGTGCTCTTTTGATATCATCATCCTCGCTGTAGTGCTTGGTGGCAGCCGTGCGAGCCTTACGGTGAACGCTCAGCTCTGCCGACTGAAAAAATCATCGCTATATCCCATTGCTTTTGTGCGAGTTGAGGGTAAACTAGCGAACTTTCATTAAAAAATACCAAAAACTACTACCCAGAAAACGCATGTAGTTAACCCGTAAAAATGTTCCGGTAAACAAAAAAATAAAGAGTGGATTTTTCAGTTCCACACTTTGCTTCCTCACTCTTCGCATTCATGAAATCACAAACACATCCACCGAATTATTCGCACGAACAATTTTCGCCCATTATTTTATCTCCGTGAAAAGAATATGAAAATGATTAAAAAAAATTATGTGAATTTTTTGAATTTTTATGGCCTTGGAAAAAAAAGAAAAATGCGTGAAAAATTATTTCGGCGTTTGCTTTACACCCAATTGTATTCTACAGCTCTATGTCTTGCCCATATCACTATGCAAATACCAAATTATCTGCATGAAAATTATTCCCTGAGATTAAAAATGCGACTCTAAAATTAGCTTACCTTTCCATTGATACACTTGGTGAGCCTGGGCAGCACTTCTCGATTAAGTTTATCCCGAATAACCACCCGGGTTTCATTCGTTCCCTCCTCGTTGACAGTTTCTCCCACATCAGCAACATCGTAATGGAATGCCTCCACAACGGCAACGATTACCCTTTAAATGTGATGAAATGAGAAAAAAGGTTAGAAGGAACTGTCTTCTTGTAACACAGCGTCCACTAACCTAATTGTCGCTTTCTGATTGTCCTCCGATTTGTCCAAATGCTTTAGCCAGGAATCCAAACACGACACGTATTTTGGCCAAGAAGCGATTCCCATTGTGTAATTGAGTAGGCTGAGACCCTCATCGGACAGTGCTAAAAACGCATCATATTGCATTTTTCTATGGATAAAAATTCGATACTTCTAGTCGAGAAATCGTGAAGGATATTGATATCGATGTCCCACCAGAAAGTTTGCTCTCCGTATTAGCGAGATATGGCAAGACCATAGGAATCAAGTACTTGTTTCAGGACGTCAAATCCAATGACTACCTGAAGGATTAAACAACTTTAAATTACGAAAAAAGTAAATTATATAATAATATGACTATGGTGAAAGCCGCGTTACTTCACGTTAGTGATAGAAGATAAATACCTTTCCAGTGGATAGCTGTTCAACCAAGCGATGAATGGCGCGTTGTCTCCTATGCAACTGAAAAAAAACGTCGATCAAAACAAATTTTGTGAAATTCTCTCTTACTTACATACCAAGTAAGATTGGAAGCGTTTACAAGAAGTCTGAAGTTAGCTTGAGCTCAGAGCTCACCTACAATAAGTCTTAAGTACAAGTTTAGAAGAGCTCACACAAGACCAGAAATATACTACATATTTTGCGTGGTTATGGAAAAACCGCAATGTCTTCTTAAGTCAGATATAAACACTGCTGAAACACTGCTGCAGCCTCTGATCTGCCCTCGAGCATGACCAGACTGGATGAAATATTAGAGCTCGATGATCTCCAGCATCTCTACGAAACATTCGCAAGAAATCCTACATTTACGCATCGACTACACTTCTGTCAATTCTGCCGCTAGGTGTCCTAACATTGTTAAGGGGCATTTTCTGCTTAATACAT